TGTATGGGTTTTATATATTCATTCAGTGAAATTACTTACAGTGGGTAGAGTATTCCAAAATTTTACTCAAGTAAGAGTAGCAATCCTTTATAATAATATTACTCAAGTAGAGTAAAAAGTACAGTGTGAAACTACTTCTAAAAGTACATTTTTCCCCAAAACATTACTGAAATATCTAAATGTAAGTAGTTATTACCCACCTCTGTTGACCTGAATAATCCTTGGTGCACTTTGCTCCTGTGCCAGTTTGGTTACAGTCAGGTGATACAAGGTGATTCAGAATTTACCTGTTTAGGGGGGTAAACAATGGATGATGATTCAGCATAAATAGATCAGTACAGTYTGTTGCGTTTAATTTTAATCCCATGACTTCTCACTGTTTCTTCACTCCAGCTTGACCACATGATTAATGAGGAACAAGACGAACGTGACTTTTACTTCTCTCTTTAATGAAATAATAAGCAAATGTCAAAAAACACTGGGTTTTATATACAATACATGTACTCAAAGAGACATTTTCAACTACACAAAATAAAAATCCTTTATACGTGTGAGAAAATRTTGCTTTTCAGAATCTGGAGACAAACACATAGATGGTAAGGTGCTTCATGTATTAAAAAATAAATGTGCACATTTATACAATATCAGTGGCAAATGGATATGAAAGTGAACATCATGAAGAGTCAAGGTAAGATCCAGAGTGTTCATAAAACAATGGTTAAAACAAAAAAAAACTGCAATGTGGAGTGTAAATACTGCTGAGGTTAATGAGCAAAGTCCATTATGATAAACTGAAGTGCATGTGGGGAAGATCAGGTGATACAGGGCAGGTAGGACTCAACATKCAAGGAGAAGAAAGCTCATGAACACTAAAAAAACACTTTTCAGAGGCAGCTTTTGAATGCTAATTACTGCCTAGTGGGATAAAAACACCATGAACGTCCTTATAGAGCTCAGTGTTCACATAGGCTCGAGCTACTTCCTTAAATGTCCGTCCGTCAAGGATCAGGAGGAAACCAGACTGGCCCGGGTTGGAGTTGATGACCGACACCAGGACCACTCCTAAAAGCAGAACTCCAGCTTATCTCCAAACTAGAACAACACAACGATCCAGAGGTTGTGCAGCACAACTCACCGTCATCCTCTGACTCTCCGCTCGGTCTCGGGACGAACACCGGCTCTGATGGACAGCAGTTCTCCTCGTCCCAGAAAACCATGCTTTTAGTTTCTGTGTCAAACTTTGCAAGCTGCAGGAAGTTACACATRTATGAAAATGAGTTCATGTTTAATACTATCATTTTAAAAAATCCTCTGCTACTATTTTATTGATAATAAATCATTGAAATTCCTGTTTGCAGAATTTCTGATGATCTTTTTTTTTATTCCTTATGTTAAATCATGAGCTCTGACTTTAAAACCAGTCAGGCCTGCAGATGTCATTCTGGGAGCTTTTGGGACCACCTGGATGGAAGGTACACCACCGTGTTTCCTCTGTTTGTAGGTGGTGTTTGAATTTTACAGGTCTGACAGGTATCATGATTTAACAAAGCAGTAATTACTTTTTTCACACAGATTGTTTTTAATTTTTTTATGCAAACTCAATTTTGTATTTGCTCAAGTTATCTTTACCTGATTTTATTTATTTATTTTTTTGCTGATCTGAACATTTCAAGCAACAAAAACCAAAAACTGAACAAATCTATACAAATACTGTACTCTTTTCACAGCTGTTCATGTCATTGCACAATTTATGCAGATTTTGGTCACTGTGTGGAGGCAGTGGTTGTTAGTTTTGGATGTTTTGAGTTTGTTCTTGTTTTATTGAGGGCTTTATGGTTTGAGTTAATTGTGGTTATTGGATGAAAAGCTTGGTTTTCCTCCATCTTTGCCTTTACTTGTTCTCAATAATAGCTGGTTGTAGCTCGAAATAAACTTCTATTAATAATTTATTTTATTTTTATTCATTTATTTTCATTTAAACACACAACAATTATCTGTTCACCTGTTTTCTATCATCATGTTAGGGGTGCAACAACACATGTATCCGTATTGAATTGTTCAATACAGTGCTCTAGATTCAGTACACACTGTGTATGGAACAATACAGATTTATGTATTTTTATCAGCTTGTCTTCTGAAAATGCTCTGTGTTGAAGGATCTGTGTTCGACTACTCCACCTAGGCTGCATTGTCGAGCGCAGATCCACTGAGAAACTTGCTGTTTCAGCAACATTTAATTTAAAAACTGTACTTTTGAGGTTAAAAAATGTTCACAATTAATTTCAGTAAATTACAAGTTAAGAAGGGCATGGACATTTCTCTTTTTATGTCAAAAAATATTGAACTGTAAGACTAAAGTATCGAACCGAATCATGAATATTGTGGCACCCCTAATATCTATCTATCTATCTATCTATCTATCTATCTATCTATCTATCTATCTATCTATC